AATGTCCCGAGTTGTGGCAAACTAGGTGACAACACTCCTGCCCACGCTGTACTTAGTGTTCAGCGCTGTTGGACCCAAAGCAGCATGACCCCATGCTTCGCCCTTCCTGTTCACCCAGTCTGCCCCTGGCAACAGAGTTTGTGTTTCCGCGGATGAAAAAAGTTCTGAAGGGGAAATGTTTTGCCAATGTGGAAGATACGAAACAAAAAACGACAGAAGCACTGAAAGGCCTCAAAGTTGACAAGTTCAAAAACTGTTTTGAGCAGTGGAAAGAGCACCTCAACTGTATTGCAGCAAATGGAGAGTACCTTGAAGGTGACGGGTTTAGACATTAAGAATAAATGCACAATGTTTATGAATAAATTCCTTTTATTTATGAGGGATGCCCCCTCATACCATTTGGTCTAAAGTTCAGTTAAAGTGGCTGTGCTAATTTTGTCTTTTTATTTATTTATTTATTTATTTTGAAGATGTGGGGTACAATTAAGGATTAGATATACAAGTGGTCATTTTGTAGGTAAAGTTTGGGCCTTCCTTTGGTTCTCACTTTGTCTGGTTTGAGATCAGGTACCCTTATTGATGTTGTATCCCCCCTCCCCACCCTGGCAGTATCCCACTACTGCCAGTCCCTTTCTTATGTTATCATGGTGAACATTCAGGGTCCACTTATGAGTGACAACATGTGGACATGTGGTATTTCGTTCTTTGTTTCTGTAATAGATCACTGAGTATGGTAGACTCTAAAGCCATCCGAGTTGCTATAAAGTCTATATGTTTGTCCTTCTTTATGGTCCGTTGTGTATATGTACCACACTTTTTTTATCCAGTCCAGTTTTGACGGGCAGCCCAGTTGGTTCCATGTTTTTACTATTGTGTATAGTGCTACGATAAACGTGTGTGCAGTTATCTTTTTTGTAGAAGGATTTGAGTTCGCTGGGTATTTTCCCAGTAAGGGGATTGCTGGGTCATATGAAGGGTCAATGTCCAGTTCTTTTACATATCACCACACCGTTTTCCAAAGAGACTGCACTAGTTTTCATTCCTACCAGCAGTGTAGAAGCATTCCTTTTTCTCCGCATCCTTGCCATCATCTCTTGTTTGTTTTATGAATGATGGCCATTCTTACTGGGGTTATGTGGTATCTCAATGGATTTTGATTGGCATTTCTCTGATGATTAGTGAGGCTGAGCACTTTTTCATGTGTCTGTTGACTGCCCATATACCTTCTTTTGAGAAGTGTCTATTCATGTCTTGCCCACTTTTTAAAGGGGCTGTTTGTTTTTTTCCTTTCAGCATATTTGAGTTCCTTGTAGATCCTAGATGTTAGGCTTTTGTCAGATATGCAGTTGGTAAATATTTTTTCTAATTCTGTGGGCTGTCTCCCCACTCTTTTGATGGTTTCTTTTGTTTTGCAGAAGCTTTTCAGTTTGATGAGATTCCACTTGTCTATCTTATCTTTTTTTTTTTTTTTTGAGTAGGAGTGCAGTGCCATGCTCACAGCCACCTATGTCAATCTGCAGGGCTCAGGTGATCCTTCCGCCTCAGCCTTCAAGTAGCTGGAACTATAGGCACGCACTACCACACCTGGCTAATTTTTTTATATATTGTAGAGATGAGGGTCTCATGAAGTTGCCCAGGCTGATCGCGAACCCATGGGCTCAGGCAGTGCTGGGATTACAGGCTTGGCCTCCCAAAGTGCTGGGATTACGCATGAGCCACAGTGCCCAGTATGGCATGGGCACTTGGGGTTTTGATCGAGAATTGGTTGTTAGTTCCAATTTCCATAAGGGTGTCTTCTGTATTTTCTAAGGTTTTTATAGTTTGAGGTTTTACATTTAGGTGTTTGACCCATTTAGAGTTGATTTTTGTATATGGTGATAGGTAGGGGTCCTGTTTCAGTCTTCTGCATGTGGTCAGCCAGTTTTCTCAGCACCATTTACTGCATAGGTTCTCCTCTCCCCATTGGTTATTGGTGAAGATACGTTGGTTGAAAAATTGAGGTTTGGCTTCCGGAATCTCTGTCCTGTTCCCATTGGTCCGTATGCCTGTTCTTGTACCAATAGCAGGCTTTTTGATTATTGTAACCCTATAGTAAAATTTAAAGTGTGGAAGTGTGATACCTTCCGCTTTGTTTATTTTGCTAAGGATTGTTTTGGCTATTCATGGTCATTTATGTTTCCATATGAGTTTCTGTATCATTATTTCCAGGTCTGAGAAGAATGATGTTGGTAAATTAATGGGTATTGTGTTGAATCTGTAGATGGCCTTTGGTAGGACGGATATCTTAACAATGTCGATTCTTCCTCTCCATGAGCATGGATTATTTTTCCATTTGTTTGTGTCATCTTTGATTTTCTTGAGCAGTGTTTTGTAGTTTTCATTCTAAAATACTTTAACTTCTCTGGTTAGAAAGATGCCGAGGTATTTCTTTTTTTTTTTTTGAGTTGAAGTCTCACTCTGTTGCCCAGACTGGAGTACAGTGGCCACTCCCGGCCACCGCAGCCTCGATCTGCTGGGCTCCGGTGATCCTTCCGCCTCAGCCTTCCGAGTAGCTGGAACTACAGGCACGCGCTACCACGCCTGGCTAGTTTTTGATTTATTGTGGAGATGAGGTCTCACCAAGTTGCCCAGGCGGGTCTCGAACCCACGGGCTCAGGCAATCCACTCACCTCAGCCTCCCAAAGAGCGGGATTACAGGCTGATCCACTGAGCCCGGCCAAGTTACCCAGGCTGGTCCTTATCTTTTTTAAGAGCTTTAAAGCTGTTTTTTTTAATTTGTTTATTTATTTATTTTAGGGACAAGGTCTCGCCAAGTTTCCCCAGGTGGGTCTAAAACCCGCAGGCTTAGGCAATCCACTCGCTTCGGCCTCCCAGTGCTGGGATTACAGGCTGAGCCACTGAGCCTGAGCCACCGAGCCCGGCCTAAAGCTGTGTTTTTGACATTTGAGTTTTAATCCATATGGAGTGTATTTCTTTTTAAAATGGTGTAAAGTCTTTTTTAACAACAATAACTATTATTTTTCAGCCTTAATTACTGATCTAATAGTTCAAAATATGGTTGGATTTGTTTTTGGACTCTTTTCTATTCCATTAGTTATTTTGTCTATCCTTTGCCAGTACAATATTGTCTTCAGTGTATTTCTGTAGCTTTGTAGTAAATCATGATACCTAGAAGTAAGTCCTCTCTCTTCTCTTCAAAAGTATCCTAACTATTCTTGGTCTTTTACTTTTCTATATACATTTAGAATCATATTGTCAGATTTCATGAAAAATCCCACTGTGATTGATTGAAATTGCATGGAACCTAGTTTTTTGTTTTTTGGGGTTTTTTGAGTTGGAGTCTCACTCTTTTGCCCAGGCTGGAGTGCAATGGCATGCTCATGGCCACCACAGCCTCTATCTGCTGAGCTCAGGTGATCCTTCTGCCTCAGTCTTCCAAGTAGCTGGAACTACAGGTGTGTACCACCATGCCTGGCTAATTTTTTGATTTATTGTAAAGATGAGGTCTCACTAAGTTGCCCAGGCTGGTCTTGAACCCATGGGCTCAGGCAGTCCTCTTACTTCGGCCGCCCAAAGTGCTGAGATTATAGGCGTGAGCCACCACACCCGACTTGAACCTATAGTTTTATAATTTTTTCCTGTGGAAGGCCTTCTTACATTAGGGATAAAGTTATTTCCAGATTCTTGGTATTTTATGATACTATTGTAAATGATGTCTTCTTTTTAATTATATTTTCTAATTGTTTGCTACTAGTATCCAAAATAGAACTGACTTTGTATATTAACCTTAGATCTAGTTACTCTGTGAAACTCTCAGTTGTTTCTAGTTACCTATAAATTCTTATAGTTTTTTTGTGTAAATGGTCATATCACCTACCAAAAGAAACCTTTCTTTTTAACTTTTTATGCCTTGTGTCTTTTTAAGGTTTTGTTTTGCTAACTATGATCTTTAACACAATGTTGGTTAGAAATGGTAATGGTAGACTCATGTCATATTTAGGATTTTTGCATCTAGATTTATGGTAACATGGGTCTTTGATTTTTCTTTTTGCAGAGTACTTAGATATTGGTTTCAAGTTATGCTGATTTTGTAGAATAACCTCGGAATTCTTGTTTTTATTTTGTCCAGACAAGTTTGTATGAAATTGGGATAATCTATCTGTTCTTTGAAAATCTGATAGAACTCGCCTTAAGAATCATCTGTTCCTCTTATTCTTTTTGGTGCATGATTTTTAACTGCTGGTTTGATTTTTAAGTACAGTATTATGCTTTTTAATATGTTTTTCTTGAGTTGGTGAAGATTTATCCTTACAAGAATTTTTTATCTTTTACTTCAGTTTTCAGTGTTACTGACAAATAATTGTTCATAATATTCTCTGTTTTTTTAATCTCTGACTTACATGTAGATGTGCCTCCTTTTTAGTTGTAACTTTCTTGTGTGATTCCTGTCTTTAGATCAGTTTTACTAGAGGATGTCTGTTTTGTTAGCTTAAAGAGCTGACTTTTGGTTTGTTGATTTATTTTCCATTCTCATTGACTTTCTGCATTTAATTTCTGAAAAGAATAAACCTGTGAGAGAGTAGGGACATAGGCTATTTCTTGCCTATTCTTCTGACGATTTGTGTGCAGATGGTTGACCAATCTCCAGAATTTGAACCCTACATATTACACCTCCCTGACAGTATTTGGTGACTCCAATTCCTGAGCATTTCTTTTCTGAAGAGTATTTGCAGCTTCTCATCAGTGTTTCCCTGTTCAGACCCTTAGGCTTTAGCTTCTTCCTCATTCTCATTTAGTTCTTCTTCCACGTTTAGTTTTCCAAAAATGTACTGGCATTTTTCCTGTCCTCGTGTCTTTTCTCTTTGCTGTTATGTTTTTGCCTTTTAAAATCTTTTATTCTCACTGTGGCATGATTTGGAAAAGATGGGAGGTAATTATGCATGTGGTCAAGCCATCAGTTCTTTAACCTCAGGCAATCAAATCACCCTATTCCAAAACAGGCATTGACTAAACGTCTAGATGGTATTCTTCTGGAAAAAGCAGAGACGGAGCAACAGTGTCTTTCTCTGAAGAAGGAAAACATTAAAATGAAGCAAGAGGTTGAGGTAGGGCAACGTTTTAATCTTCTTTATCTATTTATTTGCATCAGGATCGCACTCTCTCATTATCACAGCCTTGGCCTCCTGGGCTTAGACAATCCTTATACCTCAGCCTCCCAAGTACCTGGTACTACAGTTGAGCACCACCACACCCGCTAACTTTTTTATTTTTTGTAGAGATGAAGTCTCACTATGTTACCCAGTCTGGTATTGAACTCCTGGGCTCAAGCAGTCCTCCTACCTTGGCCTCTCATGTGCAGGCATGAGCCACCACACTTAGCTTTTTTTTTTAACTTGTATGGGAATGTAACAACACAAATGGTACCTGGTCCTCAACCAGGAGAAGTGAAGACCTACTGGAGGCCCAAACTTCACCTGCACGTAGGTGACACGTGTACCTAATCCTGACTTGTGCCCCACATCTCTGTAATAACAGAGTTATAGCTGTGCACGGTGGCTCAAGCCTGTAATCCCAGCACTTTGGGAGGCAGAGACAAGAGGATTGCCTGAGTCCCAGGGGTTCGAGACCAGCCTGGGCAGCTTGGTGAGACCTCATCTCTACGATATAACAAAAAAATTAGCCATGCGTGGTAGCGCGCACCTGTAGTTCTGGCTACTTGGAAGACTGAGGTGGAAGGATCGCCTGAGCCCAGCGGGATGACATTGGTGTGGCCGTGAGTGTGCTACTGCACTTCAGCCTGGGCAACAGAGTGAGACTCTGACTCAAGAATAGTAATAATAGGCCGGGCTTGGTGGCTCAGCCTGTAATCCCGTGCTTTGGAAGGCCGAGGTGAGTGGATTGCCTGAGCCCGCGGGTTCGAAACCCACCTGGGCAGCTTGATGAGACCTCATCTCTACAATAAATCAAAAAATCAGCCGGGCGTTACAGCTCGTGTCTGTAATTCCAGCTACTCGGAAGGCTGAGGCGGAAGGATCGCCGGAGCCCAGCAGGTCGAGGCTGCGGTGGCCGGGAGCGGCCACTGCACTCTAGTCTGGGCAACGGAGTGAGAATCCAACTCAAAAAAAAAAAAATTAGCTGGGCGTGGTAGCGCGTGCCTGTAATTCCAGCTACTTGGAAGGCTGAGTGGAAGGCTGAGTGGAAGGATCGCCGAAGCCCAGCAGGTTGAGGCTGCGGTGGCTGGGAGCGGCCACTGCACTCCAGTCTGGGCGGCAGAGTGAGACTTCAACTCAAAAAACAAAAAAAGAACAGTAGTAATAATAAAGTTATTAAAAAAAAGCAAAACAAAACACATGAATTTTTTTAAAAACTTATATAGTGTAGTCATGAATTTTAGAGCTAAGTAAGATCTTGAAAATCATCTAATCTGAGTTTAACATTTTATGAACAAAGAAACAGAGATTACGATTTTAAAAGAAAAATAAGGCTGGGCGCAGTGGCTCAAGCCTGTAATCCCAGAACTTTGGGAGGCCAAGGTGAGAGGATTGCCTGATTCCGCGGGTTTGAGACCAGCCTGGGCAAATTGGCGAGACCTCATCTCTACAATAAATCAAAAAATTAGCTGGGTGTGGTGGCATGTGCCTGTAGTTTCAGCTATTTGGAAGACTGAACCAGAAAGATTGTCTGAACTTGGTAGGTCAAGACTGCAGTGGCTGTGAGCATGCCACCGCACTCCAGTCTGGGTGACAGAGTGAGACACTGACTCAAAAAAAAAAAAAGAAAAATAACTTAAATCACCCATCTGTACAGAGGTAACACTTACTGGTATTTTTTGTTTGTTTGTTTGTTTTTGTTTCTGTTGAGTTGTGGTCTCACCCTGTCATCCAGAGTGGAGTGCAGTGGCACTCTCACAGCCACCACAGCCTCTACCTGCTGGGCTCAGGCGATCCTTCTGCCTCAGCCTTCCAAGTAACTGAAACTACAGTCATGCACTACCACACCTGGCTAATTTTTTGATTTATTGTAGAGATGTGGTCTTGCCAAGTTACTAAAGCTGGTCTCTAACCCCTGGGTTCAGACAATTCTCTCACCTTGGCCTCCCAAAGTGCTGGGATTACAGACTTGAGCTACCACGCCCCCACGCCCAGCCTTATTGCACTGTTAATCTTCACATAGCTATACTGTCATTCTTTAATAAAAATTTTAAAAGCCAATTTGATTTTCGCACATGATTCTGAATGCCGTTATCTATCTAGTTCTAGGATATTCAAAGGTATGTTTCCACTCTCTTACCTATTAGACCTGGGCTAAATTGAGTAATAGATTTCATATTGCTGATATATATTGTCATATTTAAGGTGTACAGAATCGAAGCAGAATTTTTGGTATCTCAATATCATATTTCTCTAAATACATTTCTGCTCATTTACCTTTCCTTCTAAGTTGCCTGTTGTTAATACTTTTCCTGAGGGCAGAGGTTTCTTTTATCTTAAAGATCTTATGTGTACTTGTTTTTGTAACAGGATTATGTAACTAAGATGGAAGATATGCATGAGATTGAACAGTCACACAGAAACTATGTGAAAGAAATTGAAAATTTGAAAAATGAATTGATGGCAGTATACTCCAAACACAATGAAGATAAAGCTAGCTTACAAAAGGACCTGGAAGAGGCAATGAATAAGCAATTCGAGCTTTCAGAGCAACTTAAATTTCATAGTAACTCTGAAGATAATGTTAAAAAACTACAAGAAGAGATTCAGAAGATGAGACCAGCCTTTGAGGAACAAATTTTATATCTGCAAAAGCAGTTAGAAGCTACCATTGATGAAAAGAAGCAAACAGTTACTCATCTCCAAAATGTTATTGAAACAAATTACCAAAAAGATATTAGTAGTTTGCATGAAGAGCTTTCACAGCTGAAAGCTACACACCAAGAAGAGGTGAAAGAGTTGATGTGCCAGATTGAAGCATCAGCTAAAGAACATGAAGCAGAAATAAGTAAGTTGAATCAGCTAAATGAAAACTTAGTAAAACAACGTGAGGCAAGTGAGACGAACATTCAGGAGAAATGTGAATATGAATTCGAAAATTTAAGGAAAGCCACCTCAGATGCAAGCCAAGATAATAAGATGTGTTCTGTGCTCTTACAAGAAAATATTTTTGTAGAACAAGTAGTAAATGAAAAAGTCAAACACTTAGAAGATACCTTAAAAGAACTGGCATCTCAGCATAGTATCTTAAAAGATGAGGTAACTTACATGAATAATCTTAAGTTAAAACTTGAAATGGATGCTCAGCATATAAAGGATGAGTTTTTTCATGAAAGAGAAGACTTAGAGTTTAAAATCAATGAATTATTACTGGCTAAAGAAGAACAGGGCTGTGTCATTGAAAAATTAAAATCTGAGCTAGAAGATTTAAATAAACAGTGTTGCTGTACTGTAGAGCAGCATAACAAAGAAGTACACAGACTTAAGGAACAACATCAAAAAGAAATATCAGAGCTAAACGAGACATTTTTGTCTGATTCAGAAAAAGAAAAATTAACATTAATGTTTGAAATACAAGGTCTTAAGGAACAGTGTGAATACCTACAGCAAGAAAAGCAAGAAGCAATCTTAAATTATGAGAGTTTGCGAGAGATTATGGAAATTTTGCAAACGGAACTTGGAGAATCTGCGGGAAAAATAAGTCAAGAGTTTGAATCAATGAAGCAACAGCAGGCATCTGATGTTCATGAACTTCAGCAGAAGCTTCGAACTGCTTTTACTGAAAAAGATGCTCTTCTTGAAACTGTGAATTGTCTCCAGGGAGAAAATAAAAAGTTATTATCTCAACAAGAATTAGTACCAGAACTTGAAAATACCATAAAGAATCTTCAGGAAAAGAATGAAGTGTACTTCCTTCATCTCAATCAGAGAGATACCATGTTGCAAGAATTAGAAGCAAAGATAAGTTCTCTTACTGAGGAAAAAGATGATTTCATAAATAAACTAAAAAATTCTCGTGAAGAAATGGATAATCTCCATAAAAAATGTGACAGGGAAGAAAAATTGATTATGGAACTTAGGGAAAAAGTGGAGCAAACTACCCAGTATAACAGTGAACTAGAACAAAAAGTAAATGAATTAGCAGGAGGACTAGAGGAGACCTTAAAAGAAAAGGATCAAAATGACCAAAACCTAGAAAACCTTATGGTTCAAATGAAAACTCTCACTGAAGACCAGGAAGCTTTGTCATCTGAAATAAGGTCTCTTTCTGAGGAAAACAGTAGACTATGTTCAGAAAAGAACCAGTTGAGTAGGGATTTGGAAGTTCTGTCTCAAAAAGAAGGAGATATTATCCTTAAAGAGCATATTACTGAATTAGAAAAGAAACTTCAGTTAGCAGTTGAAGAGCGAGATAATTTAAATAAACTATATGAAAATGAGAAAGTTCATAAGTTATATGTCAAAACTCAGTTGTATGGTTTTCTTAAAGAAATGGGGTCAAATGTTTCAGAAGAAAATGAAGAGCAAGATGTTGTAAATGTCCTGCAGGCTATAGGTGAATCCTTAGCAAAAACCAATGAGGAAAAACACAACTTGGTGTTTCAGTATGATGAAAGAGTGACAGAATTAGATAAAGAGATTAAGTGCCTTCAAGAAGAGAATGTAGTTCAATGTGAAGAACTTCGGGCTTTATTGAGAGACTGTGGGCAAGAGAAAGTTCTGTTAAGGAAAGAGTTAGAAGAAATCCAGTCAGAAAAGGAGGCCCTGCAGGTTGATCTTCTAGAAATGAAGACTGTTAATGAAAAAACAAGACTTGAACATCAGAATCTTTTAGTTCAAGTTGAAGAAGTCTCTCAGACATTACATAGCAAAAATGAAATCCATGATGAAAAAGAAAAATGTTTTATAAAGGAACATGAAAACCTAAGTCCGTTACTGGAACAAAAAGAATCTGAATTGCAAAATGTGAGAGCAGAGTTGATATCATTAAAGGTACTATTAATTTAACTTTTACTGATTCAAATTGATACTTAGATCTGGTCATCGGCTCTAGAATATATACATTGAAGTTTTGCACTTCGATATCAGAAATATATATTTTTTTTTTTTGAGTTGGAGTCTCACTGTCGCCCAGACTGGAGTGCAGTGGCCGCTTCCAACCACCACAGCCTCGACCTGCTGGGCTCCAGCGATCCTTCCGCCTCAGCCTTCCAAGTAGCTGGAACTACAGGGGCGCGCTACCATGCCCAGCTAATTTTTTGATTTATTGTAGAGATGAGGTCTCGCCTGCCCAGACGGGTCTCAAACCTGCGGGCTCAGGCAATCCACTCACCTCGCCTCCCAAAGGCGTGGGATTACAGGCTGAGCCACTGAGCCCGGCAGAAATACATTTTTATCATTTAAGCTCAGTTAGCAAATTTCTGAAAGGTGCATTAAACATTTTCATGTATATCTTGTGTTTTAAATTTTTTGGTTTTAGGTCATTTTAAAATCTTGAACTTACATAAGATTGAATGATGAGGGGTTTAAATATCTTGGTCAGAACTGTATTAGTCACTAACAAAACTACAACCAAATATGAAAACTTGAGTTTCATTCTTGTGTGACATACGTAATATCTCTCTTAAAGAGGACTGTTAGACAAAAAGGTGGGCTACAGTGGTATTTCACTTTGACTAAAATTTTATGGTTTTCTCAAAACATTGTGTAGTGAACGTATGATGAGCTCTAATGTTTTTTGTTTTTTTTTTTGAGTTGGAGTCTCACTGTCGCCCAGACTGGAGTGCAGTGGCCGCTCCTGGCCACCGCAGCCTCAACCTGCTGGGCTCCGGCGATCCTTCCGCCTCAGCCTTCCAAGTAGCTGGAATGACAGGCGCACGCTACCACACCCGGCTAATTTTTGATTTATTATAGAGATGAAAGATGAGGTCTCGCCAGGTTGCCCAGGCAGGTCTCGAACCTGCAGTCTCAGGCAATCCACTCACCTCAGCCTGCCAAAGGCACGGGATTACAGGCTAAGCCACCGAGCCCAGCTGAGCTCTAATCATTTAATCTTTTCCTTATGTATCCGATGTATAGTTTGTTCACTTTTGCCTTGGGTACTGCTGTTTTTTTAAAGTAAATGCCACGTGCATGGCAAGGTCAGTATTGCATGGTCTATTGTGGGAAGAAACATCTGTTGACCAATTACTTTTTGTAGGAATTATCTCTGGTAAAGATTTTCAGACATCGTGACTAGTTCATCTTGGGAAATGAAATGAATTCTTTTTCTGGTTTTTGTTTTATTTTTTATTTTTTCTCCCTGTGAAACCTAGGATTCCTTGGTGAAATCACCTTCCATAAAAAATGATCAATACTCTTCAATAAAAGAGCTGGAAGAAAAAATAGGTAACTGTGTTTTGCATTTGTTGTCACGGTTGGACACATTCTCGTTAATATTAGAATGGATTGGGAGATACAGTAGCCAATGAATGAGTTGTTTAAAATGCAGTAAGTTGCTGTCATTTTCTTATGCCACCATTTTTGCCCTTCTGCCTTCCCTTTTGAAAGTGTCTCTTTCCACTGTTGGATCCAAAAGACTGGTGTGATTCCATTTATAAATGGTTCCTTGACTGGTTTTGAATTTTTGTACTCATTTAGCAAACCATTTGAATGTCCAACCATTATAGACACTGCTGATAGAAAGATGGTTAAGATCATGTGCTCAAAGAGCTCACTGCCAGAAGGTGCTGTCACTGCAGTAGTTTGAGGTGTAGACAAGACACAGTGCTGACAGCGGAGGAGTTTGCCTACTTTGAGTTAGGAAAAACATTACAGAATAGGGTTTTCAGCTGAGTCTTAAAGAATGGGAAATTTGACACCTGAGGAAAGCGGTTCTAGCAAGAAAGAGCAGCAGGTGTATGTTGACATATAACATCAAGTAGCATACCAGAAAGTTCCTGGGGAGGTGGGAGCCTGATCATAAATGCACTAGTGCAACAGGTATGCAGAGGAGTTGGGACTCTCTCTTACCTGTTTATTCCTCATAGTAACGTTATGGGAGAGCACTTTTATTTCGATTTAAAGATGAGGACATAAAGACTTAGAAGTATTGTGCAATGTGGTGTTGATTCCTCAATGTCGTGTCCAAAGATTGGGGTAGGGGAGTTGAAGAGTTGAGAATGACTCCTTGTTTTTTGTAGTGGGTGATCGGGGGCAGATTGGGATGTTCAGTTATAGACAAAGTTTAAATACCAGTCCAAGTGGTGATGTCACATGGAATGCCATGCAGGTCTAGAGTTAAGAAAGAAAGTTAGGCTAGAGGTAAAAATTTGTAGTTAAATACTGGGTATTAAAAGCCAGGAAGTTGAAATCACCAAAGGAGTATAGAAAAAAAGATGAGGACCAGAGATAGTTCTCCATTCATTTAAAGATGGAGAAGAGAAAAACAGCAGAGGAGTTTGGGAAGGAGCAACCAGTGAGGTAAGAAAACATGGAGAATAAAATGTCATGAAAGCTAAGTGAAGGAAAACTGAAAAACCTGCTTTAAGAGGGGAAAACTGGTTAGCTGTGGTTAATACTGAATGGGTCAAGTAAGATGAGTGCTTCAGGTCAGTTTCTGTGATGTGCTGCAGCCAGAGCTTGAGTGCAGTGGATTCTAGAAGAAAATGGGGAAGCGAAATCTGAGAGCATGGAGAGACAACTCTCTCAAGGGGTTTTGCTTTAAGAGAAAGAAGAGATGGGACAGTACTTAGAGAGGCAGTGTTGGTTTTTGTTTTATGGGAAGAATAACAGCATGTTTGAGATGTTTCACCTGACCTGTCATGATCTCTCTCTTTCCCTCTTTAACTGTTTTCACTACTTATTCCTGGCCTTAATTTCTTGGTGATATTTTTTTCTTGTTGCGTGTTTATAAACTTTAGGGAAAAAATCTACTAGTGAGGGGAAAGTAGCTGCAGATGAATGGAAGAGAATTGTTACTCTGATGCCTGAGTAGGTGAGGAGGTGAAAGATGAAATGCAGAGGTAGAAGTTGGCCTTTGCTTCACGAACACAGACACTTCACTGTGGTAGCCAGAGAGAAGGGACAAGTGCTTAAATTAATAGGCAGGTACGGAAAATCAGCTCATAACTGAAGTTAAACAAGTTCTAATAGGAGAGGTGGCTAAAGAGATTAAGGGAGACATTAGTATTGTATAAGTAAGACATATTACTGGTTTACTCTTAAAAACCAGACCCACCAACCAAAAGGAAGAGTGCCATGGAGCATAAATGTTTATCTGCATCTGATGTCTCCTCTGCTTGGTCCTGATTTGCAAGCCCAACTAAAATCCTAGCATACCTGTGTTTGCAGGAAATCTAACATTAAAGGAGTTCTAGAAGCCTTTCCAATTCCTAGAAACTTAAGAACTGGCTAGAAAAAAATAGACTGTCTTGAAGGAGTCACGAAAATGGAAAATGATTATATTGTTTGCCTCATATAATGAATTAACTTTTTCTTTTAAAAAATGACTGTAATATTTTTGCTGCTGATTTTAATTTCAAATTGCCAATGTTGTGTACCAGAAATAAAAATTAATTTCTAAGGCTAAAATAAGTGAGTAATTTGAATTTTTTTCATTTTCAGTCCATATATAATCCTTTTATTTCTGTTTTTAGGAAATCTGGAAAAAGAATGCAAAGAAAAGGAGGAGAAAATAAATAAGATAAAATTAGTTGCCGTGAAGGCAAAGAAAGAACTAGATTCCAGCAGAAAAGAAGTAAGCTGACTTAAAAATGCAAGATTCAGGAATCTTACATTTTAAAAAAATAGAATTTTTCTGTCCATGAAAAACTCTTAACTTTACTGTGTATTTAAAATAGGCCCAGACTATAAGGGAAGAACTTGAATGTGTTCGGTCAGAAAAGGATCAGTTGTCTGCTTCCATGAGAGACCTCATTCAAGGAGCAGAAAGCTATAAGGTAAAAATAGTCATCGTAATAACAGTTGTAGTCATAACTTCTGAGTTAAGAATTGTACTGGGACCAGGCTCGGTGGCTCACCCTGTATCCCAGCACTTTGGGAGGCCAAGGTGAGTGGATTGCCTAAGCCTGTGGGTTTGAGACCCGCCTGGGCAACTTGGCGAGACCTCATTCT